GATAGATAGATAGACAGATAGATAGATAGATAGATAGATAGATAGATAGATAGATAGATAGATAGATAGATAGATAGATAGATAGATAGATAGATAGATAGATAGATAGATAGATAGATAGATAAAAGTTAGTATATATCGTGTTTTGGCCTTTTTGTGGTCCAAGATTGTTGCGATAAAGTAAACGAAAATTTAAATGCTAGTCTTGGTTCTGGACAGATGACTCAAAATCACATATTTTACATAATTGGTGTAGTTTATAGTTTCGTTTATAGCTTGCATTTAATGCAAAAGCCATTCAGCTCAAATTAGTTAAGTTAATTGTTTTCCATAAACTGTTTGTGGTTAGTATTTTTTTTTAAAGAAATTAATACTTTTATTCAGCAAGAATGCATTAAAGGGATCAAAAATAATAGCAAAGACAGTAAACGTTACAAAAGATTTCCTTTTTAAATAAATGCTGTCCTTTTGAACTTTCTATTCATCAAAAAACCTATTAAAATGTACCAGTTTCCACAAAACCATTATTAATAATTGATCACCAGTAATAACTGATAATAAATAAGCAGCAAATCAGCATATTATAATTATTTCTGAAGGACACTGAAGATTGAAGTAATGATACTAAAAATTAAGCTTTGCATTAAAGGAATAAATTACATTTTAAAATATATTCACAGAGAAAACAGTTATTTAAAATTGTAATAACTTTTCAAAATATTACTGTTTTACTGTATATTTAATCAAATAAATGCATCCCTGGTGAGCCAGTACAGCACGCACTGATCTTTTCAGTAGGGAATCCACTATAGTTTAGTCACACTGATGCCCTGTGTGTATCGACAGTTAGAGTGTGTTTCCTCTCTGAGGGTGAGCAGTGCCCGTCTCTCTGACCCCTCTGCCCATCAAAGCAGGGCAGACAGATGCTCCTGATAAAGACCCCAGCACTGGCCGCGGGCTCCACTGTTAGTCACAGTATTCTTCCCTCGAATGGGAAACGGTCACTTCAAAGCCCACTTTTACACCCCAAGGATCCTAATGTCCTTTTAGTCACCTCTCACAAACACACACACACACTCACACGCACACACACTTCAGGGCAGGAAAGAACTGATTGATTGAATTAACATAATCAGAGGCTGATGTTGTCACAGAAGTCAGTGGTTTCGTGTTTTGTGATGTATATGTCTTACAAACCTTGAGATATTGTGTCCAAACTTTAGTTTGGGGATAAAATAGTTCCCCAGAGGTTATCTAAATCTAACAAAACTCCCTTTGAGGATGTCTTCAAAGATTTATTAAAATGATTCAAAATCTTCTTTTTTTTCATGTAAAAATGCATGTTTTGAGGCTTGGGTTAGTCTGTAGTCATTATAATGAGCTCTATAGAGGTCTGTGGTTTGTCTGCGGTGAGATGTGTAGGTAAACGTGTGTGTGTGTGGGAGTGTGAAGTAGTGTCAGGTCCATCAGAAGGTGCAGGAGGGTTGATTGAAGAGATCTGACGAGCGAATGTCAGGTTAATTATGAGTGAGATTGAGAGGACTGATCTGTTTAATGAGTCAGACGAGAGAGCTGCTGAAATTGAGGCGAGTATGAAGCATGAAATCTCAAACGCTCAGAGTAATAAAGACTGGCACACACACACACACACACACAGAGCTGAATGAATGACACCAGGCGTTCCCGTCTCTCTAGCCCTTGATTGACTAAATGCCCATTTTAATTTGTAATATCTTTTATTAATCTTTATATGTGTCATTTGTTGAATACTCTAGTCAGAAGTTTAAAGAAGTGACCAGTGACTGTATTAAACATGTAATACTGTGCCACGTGTGGTGGATTGTGTCAGTAGTGATGTTTGAATCACAAATGTGATGGTTCTGTTTTAATGATTCGATTGAATCACTGTTGTCACAGTGTACTAAAACTCTAAAAAAAATTAGGACCCACTTTATATTAAGTGGCCTTAACAACTATGTACTTACATTTAAATTAATAATTTGGTACAATGCACTCATTGTGTACATACATGTTTTTACATTGTACTTATATTTTAAAAATACCTGCATGTAATTACATCTGTAATTAATTTCTGTAACTACATTTATAATTACACTGTTGACCCATCCCTTACACCTTAACCCACCCTTAAACCTACCCATACCACCAAACCTGTCCCTAACCTTACCCGTATCCCACCTCAATAGCAGCAAATGTGTTTTGCAATACAATATGAACACAATACGTACATTGTACTTATGTTTTATGTAAGTACATAGTAGTTAAGGCCACTTAATATAAAGTGGGACCAAAAATTATTTCCAATTGTTGGAATAAATGAAATAAATAATTTCATATAAACTTAAACGTAAACTTATTTATTTCAGTTAGTTACCAAAGCAACTAATTTTATTTTAAGGTTTATAAAGTATTAAAATTACCTAAGATAGATAGATAGATAGATAGATAGATAGATAGATAGATAGATAGATAGATAGATAGATAGATAGATAGATAGATAGATAGATAGATAGATACTAAATTCTATAATAAATTAATATAAATAAAAATAAATAAATATATACATATAAAAATATACATATTTTAAAATATAAAAATGAAAATATAAAAATAAAAGCAAATTCACAATAACTACTATTTTAATAACATAAATAATAAATAAAATAACACTGCAAAGTACAAGGGAAAGCTGTGCTTGGGAGTAAACCATGCTGAAACCATAAATAATTTTTTTTAAATGCCATTGTTTATGAAACTGATTTTTAAAATCATAATTGTGTCTCTTTTTTATGTACAGTAAATACAACCAGTAAAACTAAAAATATATCTAAAAAGACCATGCATTGTCCTGGACCGGAATGGTCCAGCATCAGTAAATAAACAACAAAAAGTCCAGTGTATGTACATTTGAATCCGTTTTTGAACCGGTTCATTGAAACCATTTGAACTAATCAAACTGAAGGCCTTCTGTTTGCTAGTGGTGTTTTATTAATGCATAAACTGGTGTGAGATTGCTCTTACATGGAACGTCCTACTCATGAGAACGTGTTTGTGTGTCGTTTCCTACAGCCGCTGTGGACTATCTGGCCAAGAACGTGAGTCTGTCGACTCAGAGAAGGATGAAGCTGGGCGATCATTCGGCGGTGCTGGGACTTCTGCAGGTGGAGACAGGACAGGCTTACTGAGTCCGATCACTACACACACACCTTCACACGCTCTCAGATGCACAAACACCTCCTCCGACCAGCTGGAGCTCTTCAGTGCATCCGCCAGCACGAGCGTGAGAGGCTTTTACTCTGATTCTCAAGGCAAGAAACTCTTGCCATTCCATTTGACGTGACCTTCTCGTGATTCTGGGCTTGTCTTGTACCTCTAACTCGGACAAGAGGACCATGCAACGGCTGCAGGAACGTCGACGGACGCAAGGAC